CAGTGGTGATCAGGTACTGGTCAAAAATGTCTCACTTAAGGTAACAAGACATTTCTTTCTTGTAGTTTTTAGCTGCAGGGCTTTTGAAAGATAGGACACGTGTATGTTTTTTAGAGTGTGTGCTTTGTCTGAGTGGCCCAAAAATGGGATGTTGGTGTTTACTGTTGGGTACAGTTGTGTACTTTTCCATGTCCAGGAATATGATGTGGGACTGCAACTAACAATTGTCATTTTCTGTTAATTCATTCATTATTTTCTTTAGTAATTGATTAAATGCTTGGTCTATAAAAAAGCAGGGAATGGTTAAAAAAAATTCTTATTAAGATCCTCCAAAGTTTAAAGTGACATTTTAAAATGTTTTTTTTCAAAAACAACTAATTTTACCAGTTGCTGTTTAATTTTCTGTTGATCTACGAACACATTTATTGGTAATTGTTGTTACTCTAATTTTATGAAAATGTCATTGTTAGGAGTAATGATCGACATCTTGATTAGGTCATACACTGTGTGTTTCAGACCGGGCCGTACAATCTAGTCTCTCCTCCGCTCACCACTTACAACCAGCAGCTGTGGCTCACCTGTGTGATGCGAGCGGAAAACAGCAACAGTAAGACGACACACTGAGCTCCGGTTGACCGCTGTGTACTGCAACAGTTTAATGTGACACACCCGACCTGTTAGTAACAGCACATTCTCCCTCCTCTCTGTGTCAGTCGGAGACTTCCAGCAGCCCTTTGAGATCAACGTCGAGCTGAAAGGAGTGACGCAGGATGCCAGCGTGATGCACATCAACAACGTGCACCAGAAATCCCGGACTCTGCACTGTGGGACCGTGAGTTTCAATCAACCCAGACATCTCTCTCCTTTTTTTTTACTCATGGGTAGTCAATAATCATTTACTCAGGACGTAGCAGCCGACATAGCAGTGTGAGTTTATGTAATGTAATCTAAGATACAAAACAAGGTTTGAGTGTAGGATTTGAATTTTCAAAATCATTGATTTACTGTGTGTTTTGATTTTTAGACTGAACTCACATGCTTCTTTGTTTGTCTCCTGACAGAACTGTGATGAGATTATTGTTCTCCATCTGGGTTATCTCAACTACACCCAGTACCAGGTTGTGGTCAGTTTCAAGGGCCTTGAAAACATCACATATGAAATCAAAGTCAAGTTTGTGGTAAGTAAAAAGACCCAGGCAGGATTTTTCTTCGAGCTCTCTAAACAAAATCTTATTTTTAGTTGCTGTCTTGGATTTTATTTTTATTGTTTGAGCTCACAGGTGTTTTTTTTTTATTATCTCCTCAGTGGAAAACGTATAACGCGACTTTCTCTCAAGTTGAAATCTGGTTCCGCTTCGTCTTTGTGGTTTTGACCTTCATGGTGACGGTAAGAGCACTGGAGCTGACTATTCAAAGTCTTTTTCACCTCAAACTAATTTGTCAAGAATAACGTAACATCTTCACTCCACAACCAGTAAACTGAAACTGACCTCTCCAGAATTCAGGATGACTAATGATCTCTCTCTGCTCGTGTTCCAGTACATGTTCTCTCATTCTCTGAGGAAGTTTTCTATGAGGGACTGGGGCATAGAGCAGAAGTGGATGTCTATCCTGCTCCCATTGCTGCTTCTCTACAACGGTGAGTTTTAATATTCTGCTTCTCATAACTACATTTTACCTCACGCACACTCTGGTATTCCCACCATGTTACCTCTCAGCCATTACAGAAGCATTTAGATTGACTGAGAGAGAATTGTGGTGTTGTTTTCTGTCCTGTACAAGTTAAAGAATGATGGTCGTGTGTTGCTTCTGTTTTTCAGATCCGTTCTTCCCGCTGTCATTCCTGGTGAACAGCTGGTTTCCAGGGACGTTGGATGCTTTCTTCCAGGCTCTGTTCCTGTGCTCTCTGCTGCTCTTCTGGCTCTGTGTCTACCACGGCATCAGGGTTCAGGTGGGTCCAATTGTATTCCCATAATACCCCCTCTCACTTCATTTTTGCAAGTTATGGATTTTATTTGATCAATCTTTTGTTGTTTCCACAGGGTGAGAGGAAATGTCTGACGTTCTACCTGCCTAAGTTGATCATCGTAGGTCTTCTGTGGCTCTCAGCGGTTACTCTGGGCATTTGGCAAACGTAAGTCTGACCTCTCTGGCTGCAACTAGCCTGAATCAAACTGTTAAATTACAACTGGACTGAAAAGATCCGCTCTTCTTTTCTGTATTTTCAGAGTTAATGAGCTCCAGGATCCCACCTATCAGTATAAGGTGGATATCGTGAACTTTCAGGTGAGACGCTCTGAGCGATGTGTTGAGTCATGTTGAATAGTCCCTGCAAATATTTAATCCACCTCAGGTTTGATGGCAGGTCTATGAAACATCATCCCTGGGTTTCAGCATCATAATGTTTGCTGGGGATTGTTTTATATTGAGTACTCAATATAAACTCTGTCTGATAACGTCCTGTGTTATTTCTCTAGGGCATGAAGGTCTTCTTCCTCATTGTTGTCGCCTTCTACATCCTCTATCTGATTTTCCTGATTGTCCGAGCTTGCTCTGAGCTCAAGAACATGCCGTACTCAGGTAGACCACCACCCCACCTCTGTGTATCTGTGTATGATTCAGCTTAACAATTTACCATGATATCACTAATGTGCTGTGTGTTCTAGATCTCCGGCTAAAGTTTTTGACGGCGTTGACGCTTGTGGTGCTAATTATAAGGTGTGTTTCTCAGAAAGGAGAAAGAAAACATCCTGTCTGTGAAGTTCGGTTTGAACAGTTTGGTTTATTTTCATCTGATTGTTCTTTTTTCCCTCCAGTATGGTCATCCTCTACCTGAGGTTCGGTGCCAGAGCTCTTCAAGACAATTTTGTGGCTGAACTGTCGACTCATTACCAAAATTATATCCTTTTTAAAAAATGTTTATAACCCCAATTTCATTTTATGTGCACCATGTGACATATCATGTCAGTGTTTTTAAATTATGAGTTATTGTTCCTTGACTCCAGACATACCTGCTGAATTTTTATCCTTCTATGGCCTGCTCAACTTTTACTTGTACACATTAGCATTTGTGTATTCGCCCTCCAAAAACGCCCTTTATGGTAACTAACGCCACACAGCCTCTGTTAAGTCTTCTCTTATTTCTGCGCTGATAATGAACCGACGCTCCTGGTTTTGTTTAATTTCCCAGACTCCCAGTTGAAGGATAATCCTGCTTTCTCCATGCTGAACGACTCGGATGATGAAGTTATATACGGGTGAGTTCACTGAATATTTCATAGCTTCTATAATTTACCAGGTATTTAAATTTTTTTGTGATAAATTAAAAGTTAAAAGCCAACTTGACTTTATATGGAAACATTTGAACGTGTTGATGGCTTTGTGAACTCTGAAGCTGGGCTCAGACTACTGGAATTTCAGATGAGTTAACCCTGATTTGGCCGAGAATCGAAGGAGAAATCTGGTCTGGAATCTTGAATTATCTGGTAGTATGAGGAGTTACGGCCATTCTTAAACCTCCTGAACGACCCGTAAAATAACGGTGGATTTAAAATCTTAATTATTATATTACTACTTCCTGCCAATGAGAGAGGAGACGTGAAGTGGTGCGTCCCTCTGGAGCGATAATCTTAATAAAATTCTCAAACTCCTGTAGTCTGAGCTCAACTTTCCTCTCCACAGTTATGCACAGAATGAACATATGTAACCCCACTGATGTTTTTGTCTTTGTGAAGGAGCGATTATGAGGACAGGCCTTTACAAAACGGACGTGCCATCAAAGCAACCGCCAAGTACCAGGATGAGAGTGACAGCGACTGAGTCTCTCGTCCTTATCAGTGTCCCTGTTGAAAACCACGGGAATACATTCAAACTAACAATCGCATTTCTGTGTGTACAAGAGGAGTATTTGGATTGTTAGTATGGATTGATATACTATAAGTGTACATAAATATATTTTTTAAAAAGATAAGGTGTCATAAGGTGTTCATGTCTACTGAATGTACTGTATTTCCACTCTTCTTTTCTCCATTGTTTTTGCTTTCAGTCTCAATGAAACAAGAGATACGGATGTAAAACAATACAATTTTACCAAGTTGAAATTCACAACCTTAGTTAAGAAGGATCGGGTAAAGTGCTAATATTAATACTTATTAGGGATTTTTGTGTGTGTTTTTTTTAAAGGGTTTTGTTGGAACACTGTTGTCTTTCTGATCTTCTCCTGTGTTGTGTTTGTCATTCCTTTCTGCTCTCTGACCAGCTGAGAATAAGAGCAGTGTTGGCTGTTGACGAATCCTTTGTCCTCTGACATGTTTTAAAAAGAAATGCAGAGAGAGCCTTACCTGGAGTAGGTACTACTGATCCCTACCACTCCCCAGCTTTGTAATTGCACTTCTTTAAGGACTTTATTTATTTTGGTAGCATGATGACATTTGATACTGTATTATCTGATGTGACTTGGATGGATGGTTTTTGACAATTGCATGGAATTTAATTGAAGTTATGTTCATGGACTACTGATCTGTTAAACATTTCATATCCCAGCATATACAGTAGTTATACCAATGTCCAAATATATTTTGCTGTATGTAGAACATATGGTTTTAAGTAAACTTTTTTAATTCTTTATCTTTCTTTATATTGGTGCCAATGTGAGACTTGATGCCCTCTGCTTTGTTTGATGAAACTGGAGCTTATGGACAAAAACAGCCAAATTCAAAAATCTGTCTGTTCCTGAATAATATCTCAACATGGATTCTTATCAAAATGGTGCCTTTTCTTTACATCACAGTTTTCTTCTATATGGGCTGCAGTCTTAAATGCTATGTGATAAATTGACTCTTTGATTGCGAATGTGGGATATGTTGGTGTGAGCTGCTTGGATTTGGCTGTTGTGAGTCCTGATATCCTGGAAATTCTTGCAGTTTTTGTTGCTTTATGAGATAAAAGTTGTACATGTAGCACTCTGTCATGTCATGTGTAAATAAAACAAATATACAGTAGACAGCATGGTTATTTTTTATGCATTTGGTATAAAAACAACAAAACAGTTTGTTCAGTTTCAGGTTTTCAGAAATACATCAAATCCTACACACTTTAAATACTTATTGACATTAGTCCATTCAGATGGCCAGGCCAAAAACACTGACGATACAGTACATGGACTTGTTCTCCCATCTCACTGCACAGCTTCCTGTTTGGAGAGAGATACAGTAAATTAATAAATTACACATTTAATTTACACAGTGTCTGAGAATGGTCCAACCTAAAAGTTTGACATGCTTTTCTAAGGCAGACGATCTTTCACATGAGTAAACAGACATTTGCTGACATTCCTACACACATGAYAACACTACTGATCTCCTGAGAGACTGTTGCATTTTGGTTTCTTCTAATTGTTTAATGTAGTTCAAATAAATGAATGGGTTTTGGCTCATCGTTAGCTTAACTTGGTGTCACCTATTTCCTTATGATTTTTGAGCCGGTTATAACAGAGGAAAGCATCAAATTAACAATTATACTGCCTTCGACACTTGACCTAATCACTGTTCATACATTTGCAAGAATGTCAAACAAACTGTTTTACTGCCGAAGAAATAAACTCATGACAAATCACAGAGCAAACTTAAAAGTCTATATATGCACAGAGGTGTTTTATTTCATTTTACCGTCAGTAGAGTTGTCCCAGAAGCAGGCACTGGCTGTTTGCAGACCCGCTCCATTTTTCTGCATGATGATACAGGTCACTGAGGGGGAAAACACAGATTCTGACTTTAAACCCCAACTTCAGAGCATTAGAACCAGCACCACGATGGTGTTTCTGAGGGAGTGCTTCACATACCAATGTACTTGAAAGGCTTTCCCAGCTTCTTGAGTTGACTGACGCACTGCTCCACCACACTGGTGGTCCACTGGTTCACTCTGCTCTGCTGGTAGGCATTTGCTCCTATGGCTGCTTCCACTGACTATAGAMATCATTTAACAGAGAAAAAACAAACGTGTATATTTTACATTTCCAGTCATTGGCTTTTATTTGCTAGAGTCTTTAAACATTGTTAAAGACACTATATAAATAAAATGTAATATCATTATTATTATGATTAAGTTATATCTAATCAAGAACAAGCCTCCACCCACAATACCAWACTTTWAATAGCCTTAAAATCACATTGTAATMAAGCTGAAACATGTTACAAAACAAGATCTGTAATCCATAACATAAAATACAACTTAACCAGAAAACTACTGAATACAAATTGCTCTAATATCTGTTGCGTGGTGTGACGTCAACTGTGGGGCTCTGTGCCTAGCAACCGTTAAAGTGTTCCTTAGCAACCAACTAGTAGCTAAAGAGCTAGGCACAAAGTTAGCAGCTAAAGCAAAGAGCAGATAAAACCCACAACTTAACAACACATGAGGAAGATGTTAACATTACCTCCTTGATAACTTTGCTCACTTCTTCAACGACGAACGCGGTCTGAAAAACAAAACGTTGCAGGTGAAGCTACTGATGCTAATGCTCGTTTTCTACGTTCAGGCGAAGCGATGAGTTGTTGGCTACGATGTTAGAGACAAACGTCAAACGAATAATTTAAAAATACACACACTAACAGGTTTAAGGAATCAAACCAACCTCCTCTTCTGCCTGATACTCGTCCATAGTTCGATCCCTCTGCTGCGAGCTGTCAAGTGCCTCGGGTAAACTTAAGAAGAACACTTCCGGTCACGTTGTTTTCCTTTTCAGAATAAAACACGACATCATTGATAAAATAAATAGGCATCAGTAAGTAATAATAAGTAACATGAACAATATGAATGGTATTAAACTAATACGGTGTAAAAAGGAAAAACATGTAAAATATGTAAATGTATTTTTTTTGAATTGCTTTGAAGAACAAAGTATAAAATATAAGAAAAAAACAAAGGAAAGTAAAACTTGAGTCGTACGAAGGGAAGCAGCGCCGTCTGCTGGTCAATTATACCATAAGAATTAACGTAAGTGACGCCACAGTGACGTAAAGTCTCACCTGCTAACATTAGGTATCCGATAGCCGCGAAGTGTTGTGATGGCAGCTCCAGGTACAGTGGCGCTTTTACTAACTTTAAAGAAAGTTTTTCACCACTCACCTCAGTTCTTCTGCTGTACACCTGCACCGCAGACAAGTTTGTTGACGAGTTACTCCTGAGCTAAAAGGCTAAAAAGCTAATGTGGCTGTTACACGAGGCTAACTGATGCCAGCTCAATTAGCAAAGTGCGCAGACAAAGTCAGGCCTCAGGAGAGTTGGTGGGAGTTGTCGTTTAAATCCATCTGCCAGTGTTGACTTCAAGTAGCATTAATTTTGAACTGACTATTAGCTTCATTCATTTACAGTCAACATTATGTATCAGGGAATAGTCACAGCAGCTTAATAAAGTCAAACTGAGGGATGAACTTGTTTGTCGCAATCAGCTTCGAATTACAAATCAATGGTTAGAGATTACGAGCTTTTATTTTGATGACCCAGCTCCGCCGTGTGTTCCACTGTTTTCTTCTTGACTCAAATGTAAACTCGTGTATTTTGGTTATTTTCACCCAAACAAACGAGCCTGTGATCAGATATATGTCTAAACATTCTTGATGATATATTTGAGGTTAAATACAATTTTGCGTAATGTGGTTTGCTTGAAAGCCATCGAGGGTTCAGGCTGAGTGCTTTTTCCTGGTTCGTCACCAAGGGGCGACAGAGCCCACTTTATCTCCGTTAATCTCTTCCGCTTTCACCGCGTGTGTTTGTGTTATTTCCACGAACACTCGCGACCCTTTGATCAGTGACGGTTATAAAGAAACTCTATAATGATGTAAATCCTAAGAAATGAATCCTTCCACTCGCCACTGAAGCTTTAGAGAAGAGACAGCGATGCTCTGTCGTAGCGGTCTCCTATTGGACGGCAGCAGACCACGTGGTAGCATGAACACTCTTGAAGTTTCCTAATGTTGTCGATCTAACGAACGATTGTGTGTTTGTTTGAGTCCGATCAGCGTCTGGACATCAAACTGTGTTTTCTGCTTCMCTGGTGGAAGTTTCCTGTTAATGAACTTTTATTGAACCGTGACTGAGAGGAGCGGTGAGGAGAACCAGGAGCCCTCCGAAGTTATGGTAATGTTATCGCTTCTCGGCCTTTTGGCTAAGATCAAGTGTAGTATCTGTTCTTATCAGTTTAATATCTGATACGTCCCCTACCCGGGGACCATATATTAAATTGATTTTTGGAATAGGGAGATGGAATAGGGGCTTGCTCCGTCCACTCCACGCATCGACCTGGTATTGCAGTACCTCCAGGAACGGTGCACCCCCCTCTCTCTGTTCAATAGCAATACATGTAACTTCTCTAAAACTGAATGATCTAATAGAACAACTTTACAGGAGTAATGATGGCTGTGAGTGTAAGTTTTATAATACAAAATAGTCTGATGGTTAGGACAGTGAGTATTTGTGAGATTTGTGCTTCCTACTTTTGTGTCAACAATGTTTTAATGTGTTATTTACGTGAATGAAACATAAACCAGCAGTTTCTTGTATTTAACCATAGACAGTATATTAAGATTTAACACACGTGTCCACTCACATGACGTCTCCCCAGCCAATCACACACCAGTGGAGGAGACACCAAAGCTTGGATATTCAAACGAGGCTAAACCCAGTTTACTCACACCAACTTTTTCTTTTCGTCTCAATGTGGCAAGATTTCTTAAATACTTGTTAATCTTAACTTAAACATACATAAACCATGCATTAGTTTTCTTGGATATGACTTCAGACCAATAATTCTCCTGAAAGTACGATCATTATAATCCTCTGGTAAAAATGATAAAACATTTCCCAACACTGACTTTACTAAGTGGATATAATCTCAAACTAATGAAATGGAATTTACACATGTAAAGGCAGTGATCTGACCACTGCGTTGTTAACAGTGAATCTCATAAAGACGAAAGTCACATGAAACTCCACAGATGGAATAAGCGGTGACAGCTATTCACTGTATCCTGACTGTAACATATCAAGTGTGAATACCACCGTGTTCTATATTATTTAACAATTAACACTATTGGTGCCAAGGATACCTTTTTAAGAAAGGATTCCACAGTTTTCATTCAGTTTCAAATTTGAAATTCAGTTAAAAAAATTATTGAATGATAACTGAATGTGGAAACAATTGTATATGTTAATGTGAATGAAAATATTGCTTGGTTAGTGGTTAGACACACTGGTGACTTTGGTTTATGCATTTAACCTTATATCTGTATGTCGTCACAAACCAATTCCTGCATCTAATGTAGGACAACATCCACTGTGTGATGGCAGCATGCTGGAAAGCTGTCGTCCTATATTAGACGTCCCCTGAAACTTACACTTAAATGAGGATGATATGTGTGGTGTTGTGTGTATGTACGAATGAATGAGAAACATCTCATAAGCAGTTTTACTACAAAGCAAAAGCACTGTGTTCCTTTTGTGGCTGCAATGCTGAATTATGGTGCTTTCGACTTTTTAGGGTCTATAAATTGTGAGCCTGGCTGAAGATTGTGTTGCTCACTCAACAGACCTCTGAAATACCCAACATGTAATGAATTAAATCTAACATCTGGTGAACTTATTTATAAGACACACAAATAAAAGAACATTCAGTTTCATTTTAGGAGAAAACACTGACTTGAAAATTGTTGGAATTCCTTTCTTTTTTATTACGTCTGAAGAAGGACTCTTAAAATAAATAAATCAATTAAATTAATTTGAATTTTAAAAAAGGCACATAAACAGGATTTATCATTTCCAACCAATTCCTGACTAACTGCTTATGAGATCTCTCATACATAATAATTTTGTTCTCTGCCATTTTCAATGAGATTTTTTTTTAACATGCTATATTGCTACTGTGTAAATATGTCCTCTGACATGTTTTAAAAAGAAATGCAGAGAGAGCCTAACCTGGAGTAGGTACTACTGATCTCTACCACTCCCTTTAACACTTCTTTTCTTGGAAAGCAGCTTTGTAATTTTTTTTTTTTGGATAGAAAAAGTGAGGACATTTGATACTGTATTATCTGATGTGACTTGGACAACAAAACAGTTTGTTCAGAATCAGGTTTTCAGAAATACTTCAAATCCTACACACTTTAAATAGTTATTGACATTAGTCCATTCAGATGGCCAGGCCAAAAACACTGACGATACAGTACATGGACTTGTTCTCCCATCTCACTGCACAGCTTCCTGTTT